GACCGCCAGGATGGGATGGCCAGAGTAGAAAGAAGGCTAGCGTGGTGGCTCATACCTATAATCCCAGCACTTTGGGAGGCTGATGCCAGTGATCACCTGAGGTCAGGAGTTCAACACCAGCCTGGCCAACATGGTGAAAACCCGTTTGTACTAAAAATACAAAAATTAACCAGGTGTGGTGGCACATGCTTGTAATCCCAGCTACTGGGGAGGCTGAGGCAGAAGAATCAATGGAACCTGGAAGGCAGAAGTTGTGGTGGGCCAAGATTGTGCCACTGCACTCCAGCCTGGGTGACAGAGCAAGACTCCATCTCAAAAAATGAAAGAGTAGGAAGGAGAGCTTTATTGGTGATACCAGTTTGCAAACCAGGAAGAGACAGTCTCTGGCATAAGCAGAAGGTCTCTCTTTAATGAGGGAAGGGGTAGTTGGGTTTTATGCTTCACAGAATCTGTATCATACAATAGAGTCCTATGTATTCAGCAAGCTGGGGAAAAAAGCGATGCATATTTTTGAGGGGAGCTGAGTTCATGTGCAATAGGTGAATTTCTCTCAGTTTTTTTTTTTGCTTTGTCATGCTGGCTGGAGTGCAGTGGTGTGATCATGGCATACTGCAGCCTCAACCTCCTGGACTCAAGTGTTCCTCCCACCTCAGCCTCCCAAGTAGCTGGGACTACATGTACCTGCTGTCACACCCAGCTAATGTTTTGTTTTGTTTGGTTGGTTGGTTGAGATGGGGTCTCACTATGTTGCCCAGGCTGGTCTTGAACTCCTGGGCTGAAGTAATCCACCCACCTCAGCCTCCCAAACTGCTGGTATTACAGATGTGAGCCATAGTCCCCGGTTATGAGTGGATTTCTCCATGGGTCTATCAGCATGTATTGAACAAAGAAACATGTTCTAATAACTTATTCTCAATGTTTGCTTTAAAATTCCTTTCTGTGTCAAATTCTTTCATTCACTGAAAGAAAATAGTTTATGATGGATTTGAAAGAAAACATAATTCCATTGCCTTTTATTGTTGGATGTTTCTTTTTGTTTTTTAATTGCATTTTAGGTTTTGGGGTACATGTGAAGAACATGCAAGGTTGTTGCATAGGTACACACATGGCAGTGTGATTTACTGCCTTCCTCCCCATCACCTATATCTGGCATTTCTCCCCATGTTCTCTCTCCCCAACTCCCCACCCCCTGCTTTCCCTCCCCCACTTCCCCCTGACAGACCCCAGTGTGTGATGCTCCCTGTGTCCATGTGTTCTCATTGTTCAACAGCCACCTATGAGTGAGAACATGCGGTGTTTGATTTTCTGTTCTTGTGTCAGTTTGCTGAGAATGATGGTTTTCAGATTCATCCGTGTCACTACAAAGGACACGAACTCATTGTTTTTTTATGGCTGCATAGTATTCCATGGTGTATATGTGCCACATTTTCCCTGTCCAGTCTATCATTGATGGGCATTTGGGTTAGATCCAGGTCTTTGCTATTGTAAACAGTGCTGCAGTGAGCATTCCTGTGCATGTCTCCTTATAGTAGAACGATTTATAATCCTTTGCATATATACCCAGTAATGGGATTGCTGGATCAAATGGAATTCTATTTCTAGGTCCTTGAGGAATCACCACACTGTCTTCCACAATGGTTGAACTAATTTACACTCCGACCAACAGTGTAAAAGCGTTCCTATTTCTCCACATCCTCTCCAGCATCTGTTGTCTCCAGATTTATTAATGATCACCATGCTAACGGGTGTGAGCTGGTATCTCAATGTGGTTTTGATTTGCGTTTCTCTAATGACCAGTGATGATGAGAATTTTTTCATATGTTTATTGGCTTCATGTATGTCTTCTTTTGTAAAGTGTCCATATCCTTTGCCCACTTTTGAATGGGCTTGTTTGTTTTCTTCTTGTAAATCTGTTTTAGTTCTTTGTAGATTCTGGATATCAGCCCTTTGTCAGATAGGTAGAGTGCAGAAATTTTTTCCCATTCTGTTGGTTGCCAATTCACTCTAATGACTGTTTCTTATGCTGTGCAAAAGCTGTGGAGTTTGATTAGGTCCCATTTGTCTATTTTGGCTTTTGTTGCCAATACTTTTGGTGTTTTGGTCTACTGTTGGATGTTTCTATGGGACAAAGAGGGCCCACTGGGGAAAGAAAAATGTTCTCCTAACATATTGTAAACTTTTACTTAGAAAAATATGTATGCGCCGGGTATGATGGATCATGCCTGTAATCCCAGCACTTTGGGAGGCCGAGGTGGGTGGATCACCTGAGGTCGGGAGTTCAAGACCAGCCTGGCCAACATGGCGAAACCCTATCTCTACTAAAAAATGCAAAACTAGCGGGCATAGTAGTGTGCACCTGTAATCCTGGCTACTCGGGAGGCTGAAGCAGGAGAATCACTTGAACCTGGGAGGCGGAGGTTACAATGAGCAAAGATCGTGCCATTGCACTCCAGCCTGGGCGACAATAGCAAGACTCCATTTCAAAAAAAAAAAAGTATGTATGTATATGTAGTATATGCTACGTGTATGTAACATACATCTGTGTTCAGTCTGGGATGGGGTTTTAGTATTAAAATGAGATGGAATTTGGCTATTTACATCAAAAAGTGAACTATAAGATGCAGAGACAGTTTGTACACAGCCTCTAACTGCTGAGACTGGCCTAAGGTGAAGTTGCTTATCAGAAGAGAATGCTTGCAAGGCCGGCCTTCTGTCCAGTCAGAGTTGTAGTCATCTGAGCTGTCAATCAGCTGATAATTTGCCTGATAGCACCTATCTTTAAGGAGTGTAGCAAGAGTTTGGTTTTTCTTGTAACTGTAGGAATTTAGAAATTTCCCTTGTCAGCCAGGCCCCGAACCCTTGACCCATAGATAACTTTTGTTTCCTTAACCTTAGAGTCTGTCTTAGTTGATAAAGGGACATTGATTTTGGTCTCTTGGGTCACATCCCCTTTGCAATCAAACAACCCACACAGCACTGCCTCCCACCCCCACTCCACTCCATGCAGTCACTGCCTCATCCAACTGAGACTACTTTTTCACACTGGACTCTCCCCCTTCCTGCTTTTGCTGCAATGCCCTGGGCTGAGCTGGGCTGCAGCTACCCAGCCCCCTCCCTGCCACCTCCCAGTGTGTCCTCCTTACTGGGCTCCAGAACCCTACACCATTTCACCAATTCCCTTCACCCTGCTGGGCAGGCCAAGGTGGGTGGATTGCTTGAGCACAGGCATTTGAGATCAGCTTGGGCAACACAGCTACAAATAATAAAAATAAAAATTAAATTAAAAACATGTTCTTTATAATAAGGAGGCTGAGGCAGGTGGATGACTTAAGCCAAGAAGGTTGAGGCTGCAGTGAACTATGATTGCACCACTGCACTCCAGCCTGGGTGACTTAGTGGGACCCTGTCTCAAAAAACAAAACAAAAAATTATTTCTCATTCCAGGTTTCTCCCAGTGGAAGTTTCAAAAAGGGCAAAGATCAGACCCAGGGCACTGTTAGGAAAACAGCTTAGGGTAAGGGTGAAACCAAGTGCCCCACTGTAAAATTCTTCTTTAAGACATTAGAAAATTTTATGGTGGTGCCTCGTAGACCCTTTCAACCAGACAAAAAGCCTTTTAAGAAAATTAACAGTGCCGGGTGCAGTGGCTCACATCTAATCCCAGCACTTTGGGAGGCCAAGGCAGGTGAATCACCTGAGGTCAGGAGTTCGAGACCAGCCTGACCAACATGGTGAAACCCTGTCTCTACTAAAAATACAAAAATTAGCTGAGCGTTTTGGTGGGCGCCTGTAACCCCAGCTCCTTGGGAGGCTGAGGCAGGATAATTGCTTGAACCCAGGAGGCCGAGGTTGCAGTGAGCCATGATTGTGTGACTGCACTCCAACCTGGCTGACAGAGTGAGACATCATCTCAAAAAAAAAAAAAAAGAAAATTAACAGCATATTTTGTAGATTTTCTATGTTAAACAATAGGACGTTTAAGAACTTTTTTTTTTTTTTTTTTTTCGAGATGATGTTTTGCTCTGTCACCCAGGCTAGAGTGCAGTGGTGGGATCTCAGCTCACTGCAATCTCTGCCTCCTGGGTTCAAGTGATTCTTTTGCCTCAGCCTCCTGAGTAGCTGGGATTATAAGCATCTGCCACCATGCCTGGCTAATTTTTTTGTGTTTTTAATATAGACAGGGTTTTACCACAATGACCAGATTGGTCTTGACCTCCTGACCTCAGGTGATCCACCCGCCTCAGCCTCCCACAATGCTGGGATTACAAGCATGAGCCACCATGCCTGGCCAACTTCTAAGAATCTTAATGGCATTGTCCCACAGTCTTCATGGGGAACCCAAAAGAGAGAAAGGCTTACTTTGGTTTTGGGTTTTTTTTTGTTTTTGTTTTTTTTTGAGACAGTCTTGCTCTGTTGCCCAGGCTGGAGTGCAGTGGCGTGATCTTGTCTCACTGCAAACTGTGCCTGCTAGGTTCAAATGATTCTCCCATTTCAGCCTCCCTGGTAGCTGGGATTACAGGTGCATGCCACCACACCCCGCTAATTTTTGTATTTTTAGTATTGATGGGGTTTCACCATGTTGCTCAACTTCAGGTAATCTGCCCACCTATTCTGAGATTAAAGTGTGAGCCACTGTGCCCAGACAAGAAAGGCTTATTTTGAAGAGGTTTATTGGCTCACATCTACAATGGCTTACATCTGTAGTCCCAGCACATTGGGAGGCCAAGGTGGGAAAGTTGCTTGAGGCCAGGTGTTCAAAACCAGCCTGTGCAACATAGTGAGACCCCTGTCTCGCTAATGAAAACAAAGTTAATTGGGTGTGATGGTGCATGTGTGTAGTCCCAGCTACTCAGGAGACTGGGGTGGGAGGATCACTGGAGTAGGAGTTGCAGGCTGAAATGAGCTATGATGGCACCACTGCACTCCAACCTAAGCAACAGAGCAAGACTCTGTCTCTAAAAACCAAACACCACCAACAACAATAAAAAGAAATCTTGGACTCTGGCAATGGGTGATTTAATGGAATGAGATTTTGCGCATATTACAGAAGCATTGTTGTGAACAATGGGGCAAATGTGGCACCTCCAAAGATGGCCACAAGAGTTCCTGTCCCCCAGATCTACAAAATGACCCTGCCACATCATCAGCAAGAAGTAGAGTATAATTCTGCCGTTTGAATCTATGGCTGCTTTGACCAATAGGTAGCAATGCTATGTAACTTGCAAGGTTGAGTTATAAACCTTCTGGCCTCGTTTGCCAGAAGTTCAGCTACCTTGAGGCTACCATACTGGGAGGAAGCCTGAGTTTCATGACAAGATCATATGCAGGCACGATGCTGGTAACTCCCAGACATGTGCGTGAAAGGTGCCTCAGGATGATTCCTGCCCACAGGCATCAAGTCTTCCCAGCTGAGACCCCAGACATCCTAGAGCAGCAACAAGCCAACCTGTCTGAAGTCCTAACTCATGGAATCCATGAACATGAGAAAAATGGCTATTTTCTCAAGTTACTAAGTTTTGAGGAATTTGTTACATAACAGTTGTAACCAGAACAGATGGATTGATATATGGATAGAGGGAAAGAAAGATAGATAAACAGATACATGATAAGGCAAATAGAGTAAACATGTAAATGCAGAAGCTAGGTGGAACATGCATGGGTGTTCACTGTATGATTCTTTCAACTTTTCTGCATGTTGACAAATATTTAACCATAAAAATTGGTAGGAAAGAAGGATGGAAACCAAAACTAGCTAGCATTTATTGTGTATTACCACAGGCACTTTTACACTCACTATTGCATTTCGTCTTCTCAATAACCCCATAGGTTGATGCCATTTTCTTCATTTTATAGATGAAGAAACTGAAGCAAAGAGAGGTTAAGTCACTAATATAATGTAACAATGGTAGTAAAGGGTCGAGGCAAGATTCCAATTTGGGTATGTGTGATTCTGTAATCTATGCTGTTAACTCTTTCGAGTCTAATCTAAAGCACTTGGCATCCCCATCCACCTCCATCTATTTCTTTGATAGATAGTTAAAACAACAGACTGGAAGCAGTGGTTGACACCTATAATCCCAACACTTTGGGAGGCTGAGGCAGGAGGATGGCTTAATCCCAGGAGTTGGATACCAGCCTGGGCAAAATAGTGAGAACTCCCTTCTTGGCCTCTAAAGTACCGTGACTACAGATGTGTGCTAGTGTGCCTGGTGGACCTCTAGTCCCAGGTATTTGGGAGGCCGAGAAGGGAGGTTTGAGTCCAGGAGTTGGAGGCTACAATGAGCAATGATCGTGCCACCTCACTCTAGCCTGGGTGACAGAGTAAGGTCCTGTCTCAAAAAAAGTTAAAACAACAAATGGCTTCTAACGACTCCTTAATTTTTACACTTCTCCAGTATTAGAGTGTCTTTTTAAGGAGGAAAAATAAAATTCCGATTTAAGATGTCTTCTTTCTGGGATGGGGCTGTCTCCTTCCCATCAATCTTGGCAGCTGGTGGTAAAGAAAATCTCCAGGTGCTAGGAAAATCTTTCCCCAGCGTGGGACTCCAAAAGTGACAAAAAGTCATGTTTATAGTCTCCTTTTGTTCTCACTGCAGCCCGGAGGTGGGGCAGAGTATTTTCAGGAATGAGAACACTGTGAGGCTCGGAAACTAAATAAATGGACCAAGGTCACACAGGATTAAGGGGCAGGACGGTCTCACACTCACTCTGCTGATGCCAGTCCAGTGCGCTCTGCTCGCGGTTCTTTTAACTGGTGGTCTCCAGGCTGCTTTCCATCTAAACCACGCCTGGAGATTAAGCTGCACTTGCTCTCCGGTGCCCGCGGTTTTTGCGGGTGTCTTCTGGTCTTGGTACTTCCAGATCAGCATTCCTCTGATGACTCAATCCTGCAGAGCTTCTGAGTGGGCTCAGGCTTTCAGTTTTCGCTGGGGGGCCTAAAAGGTGCCTGAGTGTCTCATCCAGGTTTCACATGGGGAGGCCATTTGGGGAGACGTGGGGTGCCCATCTTCCCAGCAGCAATGGGCTTCTAATCTGCGTCTTGGAGGCCCGGAGAGGACGTGGCGCCTGTCCAGTCCTCAGGGCTGCAGCCCAGAAAAGGCTGGGGCTGCCTCCCTCCTGCTCTGGCCCCCACCGGGACACAGCTGGAGCCCCCGAGGGGCTCAGACGCACTAGTCTCGAGGGCCCAGACGCTCACCCTGGGCTCTGGGCGGGTTCTTGCAGCTCCCAGCCTCGCGCATACGCCGCAGCCTGGATCTGGGCTCGCCAGGCTGGACCCCTCCTTAGAGATTTGGGGCAGGGGTTGGGGCCCGCCGCCACCCAGTGCCGCCCCATCTGGAGCCTGAAACGGCGGCCCTGAGAGGTGGTGGCACTGGGCCGAGGCCGTGCAGCATGGGAGTGGCAGGGCAGTTACCCAACCATCTCCACCCCGGGCACCCGAGGGCTTTTCCCACAGAGCCATGGCCCAAGGTTCTTGCCTCCGCCTAGGGTCTTCTGAGCTCCCCAGCTCTAGAAAGCTCTGCTGGGCGACCTGGGGTAGGGGAGGCAGCTGTACCGTGGCTTCTGACGGCCAGAGCCCGAGGGTCCAGTTTCTTGGCAACAGGTCCCCGACTCAGATCGTACCCCACTTTCCTATTCTCTCTCCTCTCTCCCCTCCCCCACTGAGGCTCTGCGGAGTCACAGCCCAGAGACCTCAGAGCGAGCTCCGGTGTGGCCTAGGGGGCGCGTCCTGTGGGCGGGGCAGGAGTGGGCGGGATGACCACCGGCTGCCCCAGCTGCAGGCCTGCGATTCCCGGCTTCGCAGGGGTGGGGTAGGAGGAAGGCGGGGTGGGGGCGGGGAGGGCCCTAGGCCTGGGCTGCTCCGGCTGAAACGAGTCATTCCGGTGGGGCAGCCCAGCCCGGCCTCCCGGAACCAGGGAACCGGCGGGAGACGCGCAACAATACCCTACCCTGGCCGAAGGCGAGCTCCGGGGCCAGGCCGAAGGGTGGAGTCGCTGCAGAAGCGGGAGAGCCCAAGTCCCGGGTTCCAGCCCGAGCTGTCAGCCTCCTGCCGCTTTTCACCCCCGACCTCCTCTCCAATCCGGTGGGGACACCTTGGGAAGCGGTTTTGGAAAAGCTTCAAGGGTGATTCTGAGAATCACCGCCCAGCCCTACTTCATTACACTTGGAGAAACAGGCACCATCCCAAGGCTGCACCGCGAGTTAGCAAACCGCAAAGCCTGCGAGGAGGGGCCTGGCAGAGGTCGGGATTTTCGCAGGCCTGAGTCCTGGGGGGCCTAGGATAGACCAGAGGGGCCGGGATTCAGGAAGGCCTGGGCGTCTGCCGCCCCAGCAGCTCTGCGGGGTGGGTCAGCAGCCTAGCGAAAATCATCGGGGAAGACGCCTTTCTTTCCTCAATCCGGGAGTGGAGATTCCATTTAACCTCTGTGGTCGGCGGGACAGGAAGCTCTCTCGGTCCCAGCCTGGCGCCAGCACTGGGACCCGAGGGAGTGTTTGCAGGAGCCAGGTATTGGAAGTGAGGCATCCTTCATTTCCTCTGCAGTGAGGTCTCTGATCGTCCGAGTCTGGTTTTTCAAAATCACATGTTGTGAAGACCCCAAGGGGAGGTACCCGGGAGGATTCCTTTATATATGCTCAACCTTGACTCAGACTTGCAATCGGCATTTGATCAAGAAACTTGGTCAGTTCTCCAAACGCAAAATCAATCGCTGATTTTATTTTTTTACTTGGCATTTCCTTGGGATATTCTCGATCCTGGGAAGGAAAGATGATGAACTGTTGTCTTCAATTCTGTCCTGCTGAGCATTCTTCTTGGATTCAGGATTTCCTGGAGCCAGACCTTAGTAACTTCAGGTTTATGGCTTTCTGAAAATATAATTTTGATGAATTTTAATCTATTCCTCAAGTTAGAAAATCCCTTAATTACAGGAGAAAACATTTTCAAAGAGAAAGGCCAGACCTGTAGAGCAGGCCCTGGAGCCCCGCTTCTTTGAGAAAATCTCTGGGCAGGCAGGGCCTCTGCTTCAGCCAACTGGCTGGGAGAGAACCAGGCAAGAATGTGTTTCCCACAGCTGTCAGGCCCACCTCTGCCAGTCAGTTCTTGGCTAGGAAATAAAGAAGAAATGGCGGCTCACGCCTGTAACCCAAGCACTCTGGGAGGCCAAGGCCGGTGGATCACCTGAGGTCAGAAGTTTGAGAACAGCCTGGCCAACATGTTGAAACCCTTTCTCTACTAAAAATGCATAAATTTGCTGGGCATGGTGGTGCGTGCCTGTAATCCCAGGTGTACAGGAGGCTGAGGCAGGAGAATTGCTTGAACCCTGGAGGTGGAGGTTGCAATGGGCTAAGGTTGAACCATTGCACCATTGCCTGGGTGATACAGCAAAACTCTGTCTCAAAAAAAAAAAAAAAAAAAAAAAAAGAAGGTTTGCTTAAAGTTGCTCAACCTCCTGCAGAGGACTGTAGGAGAGAAAGCATTGTCTTGGTTACAATCGTGTTAAAATTGGGCTTTGGTGGCCACATGGTATCTGAGGGGGATATTTCTCCTAAAGTATTTCCAGCTATTAAGTGAGGAAGAATCAATAGACAGAATATCACCATTTTGCATCCCTGATAAATGGATGTAGGCACGATTATTGGTGGCTGCTGACATCAGGAAAAAACTCCATTTCCTCACATTATGTGCCTTGAAATTAAGAAAAACTCAATACCAACTATAAAGTGGTCTAGATATCTCCTGGGGCCCCACTGAACCCCTATGATTGATCAATTCAGGCTTGATATCTGGAGCTCTGGGGGGATCCTGAGAGATGTCTAGACCACTGAGATCACCTACAGTGGTCCCTCTTACCCACCATCTTGCTTTTCTTGATTTTCGTTACCCAAGTCAACCGCAGTCTAAAAATAGTAAATGAAAAATTCCAGAAAAAAAGTTTTGTTAAGTTTTAAATTTCATGCCATTCTAAGTAGCACAGTGAAATCTCATGCTGGCCCACTCGGTCCCATGGATAAAGGAGTTAAGAAGAAATTATTAGGCAGATAGGGAGGGTAAGAGAGTCCTTGGTAACATTTTCCTTTTAATGAAAATCAGCCTCTAAATCATTTTCTTTTCTAACAAAGAGCAGCCTGTAAAATTGAGCTGCAGACATAGACAAGCAAGCTAGAAGCTTGCATGGGTGAATGCCAGCAGCTGTGACAATAGGAAAAGGCTACCTGGACTAGGCATGTTCAAAATGGCAGCTCCATCTTCCCTTCTCTTAGCTAGATGTATGTACAGTAAGGAGCAGGCTACATGGCCCCAGCCAAGCAAAGACCCCATTTACAATATAAGATTAGGGTGGGGTAGGTGGGATGAGGTGGCTTATGCCTGTAATCCCAGCACTTTGGGAGGTCAAGGCAGGTGAGTCACCTGAGGTCAGGAGTTCGAGACCAGCTTGGCCAACATTGTGAAATCCTGTCTCTACTAAAGATAAGAATTATCAGGTGTAGTGGCAGTCGTCTGTAATTCCACCTACTCGGGAAACTGAAATTACTGCACTCCAGCCTGGGTAACAGAGCAAGACTGTCTCAAAAAAAATTAGGGTGGGGTAGCCAGCTTTCCTGTGAGTTATGTAAACATCTCACCTAGTCCAACCAATCTTTGGGCCCTGTGTGAATCAGACACCTTCTCCTCAAGCCTGTCTATGACATCCATTGCTTTCCTCAAGGCCTGGAATTTCTACTTGGGTGCCCCACTCTCTTGCAGGAGAGAGAGCTATTGAGAGCTATTGTCTTTTTCTTTTGCCTATTAAACGTCTGCTTTTTTTTTTTTTTTTTTTTTTTAGTAGAGACAGGGTTTCACCATATTGGCCAGCCTGGTCTTGAACCCCTGACTTCAGATGACCTGCCGGCCTCAGCCTCCCAAAGTAACAGGTGTGAGCCACTGCACCCAGAAAACATCTCTGCTCTTAACCTTACTCCATGTATGTCTGGGTCCTTTATTTCCTTGGCATGAGGCAGCGAACCTCAGGTATTTACTCCAGACAATGAAGCCACTTCGCCACCCTGATGCGATCATCCCCTGTGTATCGGCACTGTCCATGCCCCCTGCTCGTTAGTTACTCAATACCCGTCTGGGTTATTACATCCACATTCATGTAACTTATTACAGTATATTGTTGTAATTGTTCTATTTTATTATTAGTTATTATTGTTAATCTCTTACTGTGCCTAGTTTATAAAATTTATCATAGATATATACATATAGGAAAAAAACATACTGTACGGTATGCAGGGTTTGCTGTTGACCGTGATTTCAGGCAGCCACTGGGGGTCTTGGAATGTATCTCAGAAGATAAGGAGGGACTCCCATTCTAATTTACATGAAATACAAAGTACAGAAGAACGTGTTAAACAGCACTATAGGGACATAATCAAAACAATCTAGCTCTTGTAAAACTGCAGGATAAACGACCCAGTTCTTCAATAATGAATTGCAAGGAAAATAATCACATTTAGGTTCTGAATCAAACAAATGATAAAAAGAAAAAAAAAAAAACCTAACGTTTTTAGGACACTTGTAAATTTCAATACTGATGAGATATTTGATATTTTAAGTCTTCTTAAAGTTTTCAGAAATGGTAGTATTTTTATTGTATTTTTAAAGTCATCTTTTGAAAATACAGGCTAAAATATTTAGAGAGAATGATGGGATATCTGGGATTTATTTGTAAGTAGTTTTTTATGGGGAAAGGAAAGTAAGTAAAGGTATAGAAGGGAAATGATGGGGCATTAGTTATGGGAACATGGTGGTTCATTGTGTTATTATCTCTCTGTATTTTTTCTTTTCTTTTTTTTTGACTTGGAGTTTTGCTCTGTTGCCCAGGCTGGAGTGCAATCACATGATCTTGGCTCACTGTAACCTCTGCCTCCTGGGTTCAAGGGATTCTCTTGACTCAGCCTCCCAAGTAGCTGGGATCACAGGCATGTGCCACCATGTCCAGCTAAAATTTTGTATATTTAGTAGAGATGGGGTTTCATCACGTTGGTCAGGTTGGTCTGGAACTCCTGACTTCAGATGATCTGCCTGCCTCTACCTCTGAAAGTGCTGGGATTACAGGCATGAGCCACCACACCCGGCCTTATTCTATTTCATATCATGTTTAAGTTATTTTTTCAGGGTATTCTGAAATTTGTGAACTGGTGTTCGAGTCTGGTGAATTGCCTGGCCTGGGGCTCAGGACAACGGAGACTCAGTGCACTTTGCAGATGCCCCTTCTCTCATGTCCCTTCAGCAAATGCTATTGAGGACCTTTTGTTTTCTTGAGCTCCTGAAATGATGGAGTTCAGTCTTGTGATTAGAAAGTAATGAAGGAGGCCAGGTGCAGTGGCTCACACTTGTAATCCAGCGCTTTGGGAGGCCAAGGCGAGTAAATCATCTAAGGTCACAAGTTCTTAAAAAAATAAAAATTGAAATTAAAAATAAATAAATAAATAAAATAAAAAAAGAAAAAAGAGGCTGGGCATGGTGGCTCATGCCTGGAACCCCAGCACTTTGGGAGGCCAAGGTGGATGGATTGCCTGAGGTCAGCCTGGCCAACATGGTGAAACCCCACCTCTACTAAAAATATAAAAGTTAGCTGGGTGCAGTGGCGAGTGCTTATAATCTCAACTGCTTGGGAGGCTGAGGCACTAGAATTGCTTTAACCCGGGAGGCAGAGGTTGCAGTGAGCCAGGATCGCACCCCTGCACTCCAGCCTGGCTGACAAAGCAAGACTCCATTAAAAAAAGAAAAGAAAGAAGAAAGAAAAGAAAAAAGACAACTTCCTGCAGAATACCAGCAAGCCCCTGAGAGCAAAACCATCATCACACCTTAAAGTATGATTTCATGTAATTATAAAATAGCAGTACCCTACAACCAAATGATTGGAACTCTGTTTTCTTTTGAATAACTGCTTAACAGTTGAAAATGAGAAGGTACTCTAGTAAACAGTTTACATATGTCTTAACTCTGGGAATTTTTATAACATGAAGAGTTAGGTGGCATTATTATCTCAGTCTGCAGATTCATTTACTAAGCTACTGTTGCTGTTACTATTCTTTTCCAGGCCCTTATTTAAAGCACTTGACATAGTAACATCTTGTTCTTCAGAGCAACATTACAAGGTGGATTCATTCCCTCATTTTTTAGATGAAGAAATTGAAGCTTTAAAGAGAAGAGTTTAACTGCCTGAGATCTTAGGTAGTAGCAGGAACTCATCTGCATGGCTTGTTTTTTCCCCTGACTTTAGGCCCATATTCTTTTCAAAATACTATTTTATCTGAAAAAAATAAAAGTGAGTGGAGAAGATTTTTCTTCCTAGTTATTGATCTTTGTGAAATACTTACAAAATTAAGAGCTAGCAGGCACAAACCTTGACAAATGCAGGATACACAGGACCAAGGGCCACTGTGGCCACACCCTGCGGGCTAAGAAACCAGCAGAGCTGAGGGTGCTGGTTTTTGCCCAGCCTCAGAGCCTGGAACTGCCCTCCCCGACACCATGTTGAGGCTCTGCAGTGATGTCTGTGAGGGCTGTGCCTAGGGAGCTGGCCAGAGAACCTTCCCCTTTGCCAAAGTAACCCCACATCTCACGGGATGCATCTGCTTGAAATTGCACCTTCCGAGACCCGGTGCCTCCTTCTTAAAGGACAATGCAGTTTCAGTGATGTCTGTTGTGTCCCAGCAGCTCAAGGCCCCAAGGAGTGCCTCCTGGTCAGGCCTCTCCAGAGACAGAGCAGAAATCTATACTCTGCAGCCTCTGACCTGGCTCACCCCTCTCTTCCTTAACTGCCCAGAAAGGACCCCCAATCCCAGGCTCTCTGAATGTGAGGAGCCACATCTCACCAGCCACTGCACCCAGCTTCTCGGCCACCCCCGAGCTGGGCGAGGGGCCAGGCTCCCTGGCAGCGGCCGGCCTGTTGAGGCGATGGCCAGGGGATGGCAGCTGCGGCTGATTGAAGTCCCTGTTTCCCTAGTACAAAGGCAGCATAATTAATCAGGCAGTAATGAATTCAGGTGGCACCAGCTTGTCACCTCGAGAGAGAGGTTATCTGAGAGGGCTGGAATTCGAAAGAGGGAATCAGGTCACCATTAGGATTTTTCAACATTAAATGTTAATATTAAGTGTGAATTTATTGGAATTTGGCCAAAACGTGATCTGTTGACCTGCAGGAACCCCTCCCCCAACTCTCCAACTCTCTCTCTCTCTGTCTGATGGCTCTCTCTCTCTCTCTGTCTCTCTCATGGCTCTTGGTTCTCTCTCTCTGTCTCTCTCATGGCCTCTGGCTGCCTTTGGCCCCCACAAAGGTTTTCTCAGCTGGTGAGGGTTGGGGGACACTCTGGGTATGCACCTGTTACCCAGCATCCTCTGAGGTGAGAGCTGCGAGGAGGGGGCAATAGGAGGGGTCCTCTCCCTGAGAAGCCCAGCTCCCCAGTACTCTGCCTCCAGAGGCTCAGGGGATGAGCCAGGGTACAGACTACATAGGGAGGGCATGGGTGTCACCTAGGGGTATAGGGTGCTGAGGCCAGGCCCTGCCCACACTCACCCACAGGGTCCTCAGCGTCTGGGAGTAGCCTGGCTCAGCTCAGCCAGGGCTATGCACACTGCAGACAGGCTGATCTGAGTTCAAATCCCAGTCTTCTCAAGGCCCCACTGGGAAGTTTGGGGCAACTCTTAGAACCAGATGTTGGCATTTCTCAGTGTTGTGGGCTCAAAGAAGTGACAATTGTGCTTGTTTAGGGCTTGTGTAAAACAGGCACTCCCTGAGGAGGCTTCTGCAGGTGGAGTCCCTCAGAGCATCACATCCAGGGCCAAGGCCAGCAAGAAGAACAGCCCATTTGCGGCTGCATAGCTCTGTGCAGTCACAGGATAGCCTACAGCTGCTGTGGCCTACACCCACCTCCAAAGTGAATAGGGTGGTTAGAGATCCCACACATCCCCTGCGCCTGTCCGTGCCTAAGCAGGGAAGCAGTGATGGTCTGAAAAGAGAAACTAGACAAACAATATGTGCATGAAAAAGTACACATCACTAATCATCAGGCAGTGCAAATCAAAAACACAATGAAGTATCTTCTCATACCTGTTAGGATGGCTGTTATTATTATCATTATTTTGAGATGGAGTCTTACTCTGTCACCGAGGCTGGAGTTCAGTTGTGTTATCTGGGCTCACTGCAACCTCCGCCTCCCGGTTCAAGTGGTTCTTCTGCTTCAGCCTCCCAAGTAGCTGGGATTACAGACGTGAGCCACCATGCCAGACAAAGTTTTGTATTTTTAGTAGAGACAGGGCTTCACTGTGTTGGCCAGGCTGGTCTCGAACTCCTGACCTCAAGTGATCCACCCACCTCAGCCTCCCAAAATGCTGGGATTACAGGTGTGAGCCACTGTGCTTGGCCCGGATGGCTATTATTTAAGAAGAAAAAAAAAAAAAAAAAAAAAGGCAAGTGCTGACGAGGATGTGGAGAAAAGAGAACACTGGTGCACTGTTGGTGGGGAAGTAAATAGTACAGCCATCATGGAAAACAGTGTGAAGGTTGCTGGAACAAATAAAAACAGAACTACTATATGATCCAGCAAGGCTGAGTATCTCAAAAAGATATTACACCCTCATGTCTAACGCAGCACTATTCACAATTGCCAAGATATGGAAACAACCTAACTGTCCATTGATGGATGAATGAATAAAGGAAATCTGGGATGTACACGATGGAATACAATTCAGCCTGAAAAAAGGAGATCCTGGCCGGGCGCGCTGGCGCACGTAATCCCAGGATTTTGGGAGGTCGAGGTCGTCAGATCATGAGGTCAAGAGATCAAGACCGTCCTGGCTAACATGGCGAAAACCCTTCTCTACTAAAAATACAAAAATTCACCGGGCGTTGTGGCGTGCACCTGTAGTCCCAGCTACTCAGGAGGCTGAGGCAGGAGAATTGCTTGAACCCAGGAGGCAGAGGTTGCAGTAAGCCAAGATCATGCCAGTGCACTCCAGCCTGGGCAACAGAGCAAGACTCCATCTCAAAAAAAAAAAAAAAAAGGAGATCCTGTCATTTTCAACAACATAGATGGACCTGGAGGATATTATGCTAAATGAAATAAACCAGATACAGAGAAGTGCGTGGTCTCACTTCTACATGGAATCTGAAATAGTCAAACTCATAGAAGCTGAAAGTAGAATGGTGGTTGCTGAAGGCTAGTAAGAGAGGGAAATGGCGAGGTGATAGTCAAGGGGTACAAAATTCCAGCTATGTAACTTAAGTTCTTAAAGATTTAATGTACAGCCTAGTGCCTGTCGTTAACACTACTGTATTATACACCTAAAATTTCCCAAGCATGTAGATCTTATGTTAAGTGTTCTTACCACACACACTCAATAATAATAATAATAATAATAAAGGGAGTAGGCCAGGTATAGTGGCTCACTCCTGTAAGCTCAGCACTTTGGAAGGCCAAGGCAGGAGGATCACTTGAGCCCAGGGGTTCAAGACCAGCCTGGGCACCATGGCAAAACCCATATCTAAAAAAAGAAAGAAAAAAAAATTAGCCAGGAGTGGGGGTCCATGCCTGTAGTCCCAGGTACTTGGGAGGCCGAGGTGGGAGGATCAATTGAGCCCAGGAAGTTGAGGCTGAAATAAGCTGTGTTTGTGCCACTGCAGTCCAGCCTGGGTGACAAAAAAAAGACCCTGTCTGTAGATGGATGGATGGATGGAGAGATAGATAGATAGATAAATAAATAAATAAAGGAAATGGGAGAATCTTTGGGAGGTGATGGATATATTCATGGCTTTGATAGTGGTGATGGTTTCAAGATGGTGTTTAAGTATCCCATCAAGTTGTATGTATCAATATGTACAGCTTTTTACATGTCAATCATAGCTTTATAAAGTATTTTTTTAAAGACCAATTACTCAATTTTTTTTTTTAGAGGCAAAGACTATGAATAAGTAATTCACAAAAGAGGTGTGAAAAAAGACTTGTAAAACGTATTACAAAAAAAAATATGTTCTAACGTACCAAGTCTAAAGGGAAATACAAATTAAGCAACGCTTGTCACCCATCAAAAGGGCAGCAATTTAAAAGTCCGATAGGCACTAGCAGGACTATAAGGGTGCTGCTCCCAGAGGATGCTGGTGCCCCATGTATCAGGATAGCTGCACTTTGGAAGCCCTTAGAGCTAGAAATGTGCACACCATGCAACCCAGCAATTTCCCTTCTGTCTTATCTACCCTCAAGAAATGTATATGTGCACAAAGAAAGCATCTCTGAAGCAGCATTGGAAATAGCAGAAGCCTAAATGCCCATCAATATCAAAATGCCTCAGTAGAGTGAAGCAGTTCACAGCATGGGGTTTATAAAAAAAATTTTTAAAAAGTGACTTGGATCTGTGTATATGCAAATAGATCTTTAAGAGGTATGGTTGAATGAAAAAAAATTTTATAGAGCAGTATATGTGTAAAAAGAACAATCAAACTCATCAATAACAATTTGCATGCCTTGGCCAGGTGTGGTGGCTTATGCCTGTAATTTCAGCTATTTGGGTGGCCAAGGTGGGCAGACCTCTGGAGGCCAGGAGTTTGAGACCAGCCTGGCTAACATGATGGAACCCTGTCTCTAGTAAAAATATAAAAATTAGCTGGGCATGGTGGCATGCATTGGTAGTCCCAGCTACTCTGGAGAGTGAGGCAGGAGAATCACTTGAACTTGGGAGGTGGAGGCTGCAGTGAGCTGAGATCATGCCATTGCACTCCAGCCTGGGCAACAGAGCAAGACTCCTTAAAAAACAACAACAACAACAAAAATACATACCATAGTTTTAATGAAGTCCAATATATGTTGCAAAAACAGGAAACATTTCTGAAAAAAAATATTACAAAGTCAGTGCTTCAGTGCTTACCTTTTGGGGAATTGAAGAGGGTAGACATGGATTTTTAGGGGTCCAAGGAGGCTTTAGTGTTCTCTGCAATGTTACAGGGTTTTTTTTGGAGGCAAATGGGTTAAAGTTCCCCATGTAAAATAGAGGTTAGTTTTCGAAAGCAGCTTGGCTGGGGAAGGAGACTGCATCTAGGGCTCTGGGCGTAATGCAAAGTGAAAAGCTGAGAGAATGACTGGGAAGGAATGCTAGTGAAAGGTACTTTAAACAAACACCCTCTGGGCTAGCCCTGGGAGAAAGAGAGGAGAGTGAGAAAGCCAGGAAACCTGGAGCAGCAGGCAGGGAAGGGGAAAGGCCAGATTCGGGGGCATGGGGATTGCTTTGTCCTTACTGTGCCTGACTTTTCAGCAGGCTGGGAACATGCAGAAATGCATTTCCTGATGCTTAAGTTTCCAGCTGGGACAACAGAGGTTCTTCCCACAACCCCTCCTCCTCCGTTTAGCTGAAGATCTGTTTACCCTGCTGCTCAGACAGGAAGTCTTGATTATTTTTGCATAGGGACCTAGAACGAAAAATCAGTGGTCCTTCCGCTGACTGCACTGAAGGCACCATCCAGAGGAAGTAGAGGGTGGTCCTGGGCATGCCTGCTCTGCCCAGGGCTGTTACAGCAGGGCAGGTCTGCCCCTACCCATGGAAGCTGAGGGTCCTCAGGCTTACAGGGTGGATCTGCGATTGCAGCCGCCTGGCCAAGCCTCAGCCCTGGGCTCAGCATCCCTGCCCAGAGCTCCGCCTGTGCAAGATAACAGTGAAAGCAAACCTGTCTCCAAGGCTCCATGGCATGTGGGCTCTGGAGTCTGATCTGACTTCACATCCCAGCTCAGCCCTGAGGCCAGCATGTGTATCTCTGCGCAACCTCAAATTTGCCATTGCAGTTGCTGGGAACTGAGCAAAACAATGTGTATTGTAGAGCTCTCAGTCCATGCATGGCACTCAGTGAGCAGTGGTGCCAGTTAGTGATAATGATGCTAATAAAATACACCTCCTCCTGTCTTTTCAAGACCTTTATCAGAGCAGCAAACCAGCTAGTGTGGTGGCTCACACCTGTAATCCCAGAGCTTTGGGAGGTCCAGGCGGGAGGATCGCTTGAAGCCAGGAGTTCCAGACCTGCCTGGGTAACATAGTGGGATCCTGTCTTAACCAAAAATTTAAAAAATTAGCTAGGGGTGGTGATGTGCACCTGTAGTCCTAGCAGCTTAGGAGGCTGAAGTGGGAGGATCTCTTGAGCCCAGGAGTTGGAGGCTGCAGTGAGCTGTGATTGTACCACTACATTCCAGCCTGGGTGACACAGTGAGACCTCATCTCCAGAGAAAGAGAGAGAGAGAGAGAGAGAGAGAGAGAGAGAGAGAGAGAGAGAGAGAGAGAGAGAGAGAGAGAGAGAGAGAGAGAGAGAAGCAAACCATTGCATATTATAAATGTGGTTTCCAATGGTATTTAGACAAAATAATTTACCTTTAGCGTGATGTACGAGAAAAGCTCTAATTTAATTCAGTAACTCCCCGCCTCGGGTTTGTTGAAGTTTTATTGTTGATGTTTCCTAAATCTCAGTGAAGGTTTAGGAGGGAGATTCCAATGAACTTGGCTTGCAGTGAAGAAGTTGTTTCTAGGGAGGCAGAGGCAGAAGGAAAGCTTGAGCCAGGAGTTTGAGACCTATCTTGAGCCTAGGAGTTTGAGACCCACCTGGGCAATATAACAAGACCCCATTCTCAAAAAAAAAAAAAAAAAGAAGAAAGAAAAGAAAAAAAAGGAGTTGTCTCCTCCTTCCTGACAGAGGGTGTTGAGAGGAGTGCCTCCTCCACAGTCGTGTTAGCTGGTCCAGGCTGGAGCCTGATGAGGCTGGGGATGGGGTGGGGAGATGGTGGGCATCTCCTCCCCAGGGCGAGGCCAGGACCAGGATGATGGTAGTGAAGCACTTGCCTGGGGGCAGCATTTAAGGAGGTGCCCAATAACCCAATAATAAGATAGATAATGCTTTAATACAACATTTTAAAAATAAAACCAATGCAAAAAAAAAAAAAAAACCAAAAAAACCCCAAAAACCTAAGACAACAAAACTTCCCCGTACTAAACCATACTTCTAGCTGCTTGGGCTGTCTTCCTGGCCCTGCCAGTTCTTAGGTTTCTAACATTACCTTTCCTGGGTTCTCTAGGGCTGGCCTCTGTCTGCCTAGGTCTACAGGAAGGGATGTGGAAGGTAGGTTCTGTGGGGATGAGCTGGGAAATCTGTTCTTTTTTTTTTTATTGTCTTTGAAATGGAATCTCACTCTGTTACCCAGGCTGGAGTGCAGTGGCATGATCTTAGTTCACTGCAACCTCCACCTCCCAGGCTCAAGTGATTCTCCTGCCTCAGCCTCCTGAGTAGCTGGGATTACAGGCGCCCACCACCATGACCGGCTAATTATTTTATATTTTTAGTAGAGACAGGGTTTCACCATGTTGGCCAGGCTGGTTTCAAACTCCTGACCTAAAATGATCCGCCTGCCTCAGCCTCTCAAAGTGCTGGGATTATAGATGTGAGCTACCGCGCCCAGCCCTTGGAAAGCTTTCTGGACACAATCGTGTGTGTGTGTGTGTTTAATTTTTTTATAACCTTTTTGAGACAGTAAGAGATTCAAACAAAAGAAAGCATAGAAACAAGGGCCAGAAACACGGGAGTGTCTAGTAAAATAAGCAGATTTGAAAACTGTTTTGGAGAAAGCTTTCTACTTTTCATTGTCTGATCTTTCAGAAAATACCCAAGGGTTTGCAAAATGAAGAACAATTTTTTCAGTTTTTAAACACCTTCACCTTCCCCAAACAATGCTGCTGTCACACGTACTGGGCCAAATGCAGACGCTATCTTCCCCTCCAGGATCTGAGCATTTTGTTCACCTGGCTTGTGAGCTCAGTGGACTTGGTTTCAGGCACACCCCTTCCCAATCTGAGGCTCATCCCTCCATCCCTGGCCAGTGGGGCTGGAGGCCCAGTCCCCAGGGATAGTTCCCCACTGGGAGGGGACAAGAAATGACAGCAATCTACCTATGAGGTATTGGCTTATGAGACAAAACATTCATTGGTTGGACTCCTTCAGAAGAAATGGGATTCGGGAAAGGAAAAAAAAAAAACCCAACAACAACCAGCCCACCTATTTCTGGAAGCTGCAAGTTGTGTGATGAAACCATGTTTGTTGCCATACAATGTATTCAAATCCAACAGAATGAATGATAACTATTTAGCTATAGGCAGATATCCTGCCATTCTTTTTCATATTTCAAAAAAAATTAATTTGGAAATATTTTGAAATAAGATAAACTGTTTCTGGCCAATTATTTACAGTGTGGGTACAAACACACTGCTGGGAGGTCCCCGGATCTATCAAGGATGGGGGGGCCGGGGCAGGTGAGGAAGAGGACACCCAGGGAGAAGAGGGACCCCACTTCCAAAAGAGACAGTAGCAGAGGCCTGAAGGTGGGGTTTATTTCAAGTTTTTAGGTGAACAGTGCTTTTAAAAAATGAATTCTATAATTTGTTATATTAATAATATACTTTAAATTATCACCAAAAATGCCATATGAGTGCACGATAAGATAGAAATCCTTTTTGTCCTTCTCTTTTTCCTGTGGACTTCATTTCAGAATCACTAAATTTCGTAGCACCTTGGTTTTTTGTTGTTTTGCCAAAAAGAAACTTTTCTGCTCAATAGTATATTAATGCAGAATAGAAATAAAGATGCTTTAAAAAATTCTTTCAAGCACAAAAGGAGATGGTTTTCAACAGATAATTTTACATATTTACATATTTTACCTTAAGCATTTTGTAGTCTCTGCCTACTGGTGAATGGATCAGATTTTTAACACGCTTTCAAAATGAACCAGTTTGGCTTCTAAGCCATTGCAAGGACGGAAATGAATTCTAACTTTTTTTTTTCACTTCATTTTCGCATCTTCACATTTCCTTATTTCACATGGTTTCAAATAAAATGCCTCCAGCGTGATTTTTCCTTTCTCAAGAGCAAAGTGAATGTGACTTTTCGGAGGGGTCACAGGATGCCCGGGAGGCCTGTGGCTGTGGCTGGACGGCTGCCTGCTTTCAGCTTGACTGAAGGGCTTGTCAGAGTTTTCATCTCCTAAGAAATGAGCCCCCGGGCTGGCCAGAAGCAGGAGAAGGCAGCCGCTTGAGCCCCACACTGGTTCTTTCCCACTGACATCAAATCCTGAGGTTTTAAAATTAATCCCACACAAAGACAGTTCTTCATTGTGGTGCCTGTTTGAAATTAGACCAGCAATAAGGACCTTTCTAAGATGTCTCGTTGTTAAGATAGGCCCCTGTTGGAGCTGAACAGCTGCCTGCCAGGAAGGGAGTGGGAAGGGGGAGGTACAGTGCGTGGGTGAGACGCCCCAGCAGCTCGGTCAAGGTGACTGTTTGGCCTGGCCTGGGGTGCCGCCGGGCGGCGCCAGGAAGTGGCTGAGGGCCCAGATGGCTGGGCTGCCTCGGGCTCCTGTGACCCGGAGCCACCGCTGCTTCCCGGATCTGAGCCCGATGACTGTCCCTGGCTGAGAACCGCTCTTCACCTCAGGTCACACGGATTCCTTGAGTTCTGATCAGTGTTTTTGTTAAAGGGAACTGGAGACGTAAAAGGAACTAAAACTGAACATTAGCAGTGAAAATAAATAAAATAAAATAAAGCAAAGAAGGCAGTAATTTCTCCATGGGTGAGAAGCCCCCTGCTCCCCCTGGGGGTACAGGATGGGAGCTGGGCAAGACACTGCTGCCACCCCTGCTACTTTTGCTTATTTTGCATGAGGAGTTGTGGTTTTGGGAGGTTTTTGTTTTTTGTGTTTTCTTTTGAGACAGGGTTTTGCTCTGTCACCCAGGTTGGAGGGCAGTGGTGTGATCACAGGTCACTGTAGCCTCAACCTCCTGGAGCTCCTGGACCTCCTGGGCTCAAGCCATCCTCCCACCTCAGCCTCCTGAGTAACTGGGACTACAGGTGCATGCCACCGCACCTGGCTAATTTTTTTGTTTTTTACTTTTTGTAGAAACAGGGAGAGTCCCCGCTATGTTTCCCAGGCTGGTCTTGAACTCCTGGGCTCAAGGGATCCTCCGGCCTTGGCCTCCCAAAATGCTGGGATTACAGGCGTGAGCCACTGCACCAGGCCTGCATGAAGAGTTTTTGTTTCTCCAGCACTGTGGCTTCCACAACAAGCTGCCACACCTGGAACACGCTAGGAGTCCCATGCAGCTGAGCAGGCCAGCCCAGTTGCTAGAAGCTGCCTTTACTCTCTGCATTGGGGGCAGCTTAGTAGGCTCTTCCATGGGCACTGGGCTCCATCCAAAGCCTCTGTGTG